GTTATCACAGATCCTTCCTCCCAGCAGCTGGAAGACTCTAGAACCACCACTGTTCCCAACAACCTCAACCAGTTCTTCCATTCAGGCTGATTCTGCTCAGTTTCTACCTTAGTCAGTTAAATAACCCGCTGCTGTCATTCTGCACATCTCTGATGTTGCTGCTATTTTAAAATATCCATTACTGTAAAAATGTCCATTCCAACAGACCAATTAAACTACAAGCCAAAGATATTATCTTACACTATATTAATAACGATAGGAAAATGCAATTCATGGTTAACTTGATTTTTCTAATTGCAAAATTCCACATACACAAAACCAAATTTTCCAAAGGTCGACCTTTCTTCCCTGTGTTTGAAAATGATTTTAAAATTTACTTCAATTGTATCCAGAGAATCAACAATAAAAAATGTATCCACACTGTTAACGTAATTCGGGAAATATTTGGAGAAATGTAAAGTATCTGGGCCCTTTTCTTTTCTTTTTTTTTTTGTCTTTCTTTAAATCTCTTCTGTTATTTATTTAAGTTAAAGTATGTTATATCTTAACTGTATTTGCCCTCCATCATTGAACACTTATTCTGGAGATACTTTTCTATTTATTGAGATATGTTACGTTAATATTTAGTAATTTGCATATTTTCAATAAAAAATAAAAAAAAATAAAAAATGAAAAAAAAAATCCATCTGGTAGCTTCTCTGGCAGCTTTCTCTCTGTAATCTGTCTCCTCCGCTGCGGTAGGGGGCGCTGTCGCGTCAGCGTCACCACGTTGCTCTTCAACCAATGACGTGGATATTCATTGAGAGGCAGTCAAAGCTGCCAGATAGACACTTTAACAGAGATTTTTCTGCGTCTTTTTTCCAATATATGCCACAAACCGACCATTTTCTGTCCCTTAGGCGGGATTATCGGATCTAGCTGCGTTGAAACAGGTGAGCGGGAAGTAAAAGGTGAACATTTACAGTGTTTCCTGTTGTCTGATTGTTTTCAGTGAAACAGTTGGACTGTTTGTCTTTGGATCAGACTGCAGGATGAGTAAAAGCAAAGTGTTAAACCTGAAGGATAAAATCAGCGGGAATGAGGCGGACCTCAGCCTGTGTAACCTCAGCGAAGTGCCCGCCAGAGAGCTGGTAACAACCCACCGCTTTTATACTCTTAATAAAGTCGTTTAACATGCAGCAATCAGGCAACATAACTGTCTTTATGACTGTAAATCTTGGTGTTTCCTCCTACAGGCTTCGTTTCCTAAAGCCACAGTGGTGGACCTGTCTTGTAACAACATCATCTCCCTTCCTGTAAGTAGATGAATGTTTGAAAGTTTTCCTTATTTCCACAGATGCCTCAGTGTTTATATCACTGGGAAAATAAAGCAGGAAAAATGGAGGCCTGCCTTAGAGGACATGACGTCACCTAAAGTTATTAAATCCAAATATAGATGCATGAATGAAATGGAAAAATCTGTAGCTAGATTGGAAAATATTTATCCACAGATGTTCTGCATCAATATTACATA